TGCCTTTTAACCCTTGCTCAGAGTTAAGCAAGGGTTAAAAGGCAAAAAATTCCTTATGTAAAGGAGGCCCGTGGTTCTCTTGCCTCCTGCTCTGGCAGCAGCAGCTCTTGCCTAAGTTGCCTTTTTTTTTACATTTTCATCATGGCGGACAAGAGGAGAGTTGAAATCCTCTGACACAGCTGGAAAAGGTATGTGGGTGGGAGGGAGGGGGCAGGGGGGAGGAATTCAAAATTATTTGTAAGTAATTGTAATTTGTACTATTATAAGTAATTTGTGTGTGTGTGTGTTTTACCCGCCTCTACTGGTGCGCGGGCTGGCACTTTTTTATTTTTTATTTTTTAAAGCCATGCCGCCACGTAGAGCGGGACATGCCGGCTTCCGGCCACTCAGCAGGTCCCGCTGTATGGCCGGGGCGGCGGCATGCACTTTAAACTGCCAGCACGCCTCCCAGTCATAAAGCAGGACGTGTCTTGCTCTATGGCCGGGGCGGCGGCATGCACTTTAAAGTGCCAGTGTGCCTTCCGGCCATTTAGCAGAATCCGCTGAATGGCGGGACGGCGGCATGTACTTTAAAGTGCCAGCACGACCCCCGGCCATAAAGTGTTTCGGTCTATGGCGGGGCACACCTCGGCCATTCAGCGGGACCTGCTGAATGGCCAGAAGGCACGCCGGCACTTTAAAGTGCATGCCGCCACCCCAGCCATTCAGTGGGACCTGCTTAATGGCCGGGAGGTGCACCAGCACTTTAAAGTGTATGCCGCCACCCCGGCCATTCAGCGAGACCTGCTGAATGGCCGGGAGGCGCGCTGGCCCTGTAAAGTGCATGCCGCCACCCCGGCCATTCAGCGGGAGCTGCTGAATGGCCAGGAGGCGCACTGGCACTTTAAAGTGCATGCTGCCGCCCCGGGAGGCGCGTTGGCACTTTAAAATGCCAATTATTGGGACCTGGGGCTGGGGTGGCGGCATGTACTTTAAAGTGCTGCGCACCAGGCTGGGTGAGTCCCGGAAGATGGGCAGGAGATGGCGCTGGCGGCCGGAGCCCCTTCTCTCACCGTCCCTGAGGAGCCACCGAGCGGTGACAGTAGCAGCCATGTCTCACAGAGTCACGGCAGCATCTCTGGCATCAGTGGCTGCTGACCACACCTCCTACCTGGTCCCTTCTCGCTGCTTCTCGCCGCCGCCACGCTCTACCGCCTGCCCCCCGCCTCCTCTATCCCCGCCGCTGTGTCCGACAGAGGCATCTCGCGTCTATGGTAAGGTGACCAGATGTCCCGATTTCAGCGGGACAGTTATAATTTCTAAGAATTTGTCCCGTGTCCCAGGCGTTTTAAAAAAGTCCCGATTTTCTGGCTTCATGTTGAAGGCCCAGTGGATTTGCTTAAGAAATCGTAACCGGGGCAAGACAAAAGACACTCTAACTAACCTCTCTCTCTGTCTCAGTACTTTCATTGAAGATATAATTAAAACGTTAAAGCAAGAAAACGGACACACACACACGCCCTTTTTCCTCATTTTATAAGAAAAATTGACCCAGTACCATAGAGCTCCAGGAAATACATTGGCTAGAGAAATCGCGAGTGTTCCTTCCTGGATTTTCCGGAGGTGAGGGGCACGGAGGTTAAGTGAATAACTGCAGCTGGTATTTTGTATTTTGTATAGAATATTTTTTTAAATAGACTAAGACAAGTTTAAAAAAGAATCCACACAGAATAAATTGAAGTAAAACATTTCAAA